CCAAACCACCACGACCTGCAGCTAATCTTACACAACCCCACCCCCCAGCGGGGAGGGGAGAAGGTGGCCGCGGAAATGCACAGGGCAGGAGGCGTTTGGCCGGGGTGAGGGATGAGGTGCGCTACCACGCCCCACCACCGCACCAGGGCTGATGGCAATGTAAGCAGGCATAAGTCGTCGTCCCCTCCACCACCACTACCACCGCGATGCACACAGTCCGCACAAAGCCCAGGCCGCGCGCGCGACACGTTGAGCCCCACGACTGTGTACACACAGCCCCCGCCCCCCACCGCGGCAGTGTCAGCCCGACGCTTTTGTTTCGAGTCGCGCGGGGGCCGCCAGGGCGGCGGCGGCGGCGCCCCGGGCGGCACGAGGACTCCGGGGCGGCCAAAGGGGCCCGCGCGCCGCCGCACCAGCTGCCACTTTAACATTTCTTTCGCGCAGACACGCCCTGCCCCGCCGGCCCCCGGCGCGCCCCACTCCCCCTCGCTTCGTAACGAGCCGCCCCCCGCGCAGCCCGCGGCTGTTCCGCGGTCATCTGCTGCACTGTGTGCTCAGGGTGTCCACTGTGACCTAGTGCAACGCTATTCAAAAATGGCACGGTAAAAAATCTGAGTAGTTAACACAAAGAGTCTCCGCCACATGTACGGACCCTCCTGGGACTCAACGTAGCGTGTTAATAGGCAACATTTTTTGAAGAAACCCTGCTCAATCAAAGACCAATGCATAGAATGTTAAAACTATAAGCCATCTGATATATCACAAATTCTATCGGAGTCTTATGTAAATGAAATCGACTGAGATAAGTTAGGTATCACCTATGCCCTTCTGCGCTTCGTCAAACTGAATGGTTTAGACACTAGTTCCCATTCTACTGATCAAAGGTATTTCATAGCAGTCACCTCTATTACTCCAAATATTAATTAGAGATCAGTACTGCATACATATATCCCGAAGCAGTGTGGTGGCCTGACGGAGGGCAGCTGCCAGATTTTAGTAAGAATATTTATTTAAAACTTATAAACACTTTTAATCTAAGCTGCTTTGTTTCCACTTCTTGTATATAAACAGGCAGGTTGAAACAGACTGTTTTAAAAATACGACTGAAAGGTGGATTCAGAGTTCCATGCGACTGCGACTGGCGTGAAAATCACGCCAGGCGTGAGGAAAGTCGGTTTCTGATGGGCTGCGCGAAAATTACGGAGTGTGGAAAGCACGCCTGGCGTGAAAATCACGCTTGCGTTTCGTGAACTCTGAATCCACCCGAATGCAGGACTTTTGCAAAGGGTGGAGTGGTGGCCATAACCTCAACAAAGGCGCAGTCCCAAAAATGTACATATACAAAGACATACATTCACATACGCTACGGTATTTTGAAAACCATGAAGCAGAACATTATCCACTTACAACGTCAAATGACGTCGACACTTCCCCCTCCGTGAATCTGTTTAAAGTTTGTTAAAATACTTACGCCATGTTGTTGACTGTTGGTATTGTCGAGTGCTTGCTGCGAGCCGAGGGCGGGACGCGGGACTAGACGGTAGCGCGCTCATCCGGAGCGAGCCCGAGACTGGAGACGCTTTGGCATTCCCTCCCAAT